CTAATCAATAAATGTGAGAGAGTTTAGTGGCCCTGTATCTGACTCCAGTTATATCGGACAAATGATGATTGTCGAAATATACATCCTGACTGTCCTTGTATATAATCATCGACTTTAATCCTGTTAGTGTATAACGAAATTGAGTAAGTCAAATACGAGAATGAAGTTTTTAATACGTATATTTGTTAACTCATTGATCTGGATAGTCAATCAGAAGGAAGCGAAATGATGCGCAGTGAAGAAGGCGTGTGAGCCAACTTGATTCAACCAAGCGTAAATCAAAATTTATTGTCGAACAAAAATAAGCTGTAGACATGTGATGAGTAAGATAAGAGTTGCACACACATACGCTCATATAAAAAATCAAGGTTGATAAGTGAATAATTGACAAGGTCAAAATGTAGCTTGAGAAAAATAGATAAATTGGTTTGTCCAGAAGCTAGAATAAGTTATGTTGGCTCGTCATAGGGTCAGCCCTTACAAGAGATTATGAAAAATTGCTTTATCAGTTATTGATGATGTAATAAAAGTCGTTAAAGAATTTGAGAAATAATCATAATTTATTTAGGAAAATTTTGTACTATATTATATAAATATTGTTGATGGATTGATAGTTCTTTTACCAAACGCTAGACTTAGTGATGTATATTAGTAAGCTGTTTGCTAATGAATTTTCGGCATCCAGCAAACTTTCATCTATTTTCGAAATCAAAAGTAATATTTCTTATGAATCTTTTAATTATGCGATTCCTATTGTATTTAGTGAATTATATAATAAGTCTATCCACTTTGTCATTAAGATTTTAGATATAATATGTTAGATAGCTGGTTATTCTTGAACTGAAACAAATGAACATTTTTTACATCAAGATTAATAATTAACTGGTGGTTCACTCTTCGTTCGTTCTTTCGTCATTCACTATGGAGTCAAATCGCGGGCACAATATATGTACTGACAAAATGTAATAACGACATAAAGCCTGAAATTAGCGTATTGATATCATAGGGTATTGATGTGTTGAGTTCAAAATTTCACATCACGAACTCACTTTTGTTAGGTAAATATTGAGAACCTCTAAACAGTTGCTATCATCTAGTTACAATGATGTCAGATGTAGGTATAACATTCCTTTTCAATTGTCAATAGAGCATATTTGTTGTCAGTTGAAACACAAACGTTCAACTGAATTAAATGCTCTTATTGGATCCTGGTGAAATAATGGAAATGAACGTTTTGCTGAGTATCTCATGATTATATTTTAAGGTTACTTTATCGATCATGGATTTCTCAATTAACTGATCTCTTTATTAAATAAGAGAAGCTAATAAAGAAAATTCCAAATTTATCTATGTTTACACCTTGACTTATCTAACTTAATTAAAAACTTATTTTTCCTCCATGCATAAGAATTTATGCGTCTTATCATTTATCATAACTTTCTGACTGCTTTCTGTATGATTTGGATGACTTAATAATATTGTTGTGAACGAGAACGCAACTGGGAACAATCAAATGTATTTGATCACGAAATCACACAACGTCTTAGTAAAATCTGAGAACCATATAGTAAATACTTTATTTGCAAAATGTTCATCAATTGTCTGAAAAGTGACTGTTCCTTTTGGAAATCGCAATCAATCCTCTCAGACTTCACTGTTCCTTCATTTCTTCAACAATTATACTCTGTTCTCATTTTCTTTTTTTCGATCTTCTTAACCTTCTGCTGCCAGGTATTTCACTTTCGATTGATGATACGTACTACATATATCTGTTGACATCAGTAGCACACAGCACAATTAGTTTTCCTGTTGTGGTTATTTATTCATTAGAGTACAGTAAGTTCCTTTTGTTCAATGACGTTTAGACTATTGTGTACATTTTTATTTTTGGAACTAGTTATTAATATGTATCTGACTGGTAAATTAAGAATAATTCATCAAAATCATTAAACGTTATCTTGATTGTCTTAAATTGTTGTTTTTCAAACGAGTCCAGTATGCATGAACTTTTTCTAACATGTTTTGAGGAAGTCAATGAATCGTTTAGAAATACTGCGTTTTACATTCTACAAACACATAACATAAGGTAAGGCTAGACTTATGGCATTTCATATTGATGAGCCTACCAAGATATAAAAGTCATAAGAGCGAAAAATGAATCTATCTCTAGCCAAATTTAAGGCACTATAAGCAGTGAAACAGTTCTTACCCATCAGAAGGAGCTGAATATCAGATCCAATCTATCGCGCCAACAATATCAGTTTTGTCTATATGATTGCATTTAGAATTTTTACTCACGCTGGATTCAAAACAAAAAGGGTTTGCAAACTTTTAATTGTGGACTTATTCTATCGAAAACTGGGTGCCATGTACTGGTTATCGGCTGTATTTAGTAAAGTGTAATGTACCTAAGATTACTTAACGAAGAAGTCGTATATAAATAAACTGGATTCATCTAATTAAATTTTTCAATGAATAAACGCAAGTACACAATATTGTATGAGTGAATAAAATACACTTTTTTTATAACCAGTAATGATCTTATGAAGACTGAAATTTATCTACTGAATTGGTTTCATTTAAGCTACGGAAAGTTAGACCGATTCTAAATCACTTTGTTATAAGTGGCAAATAATGTTCTAAATAGATAGATACATCCCTATTTATTGAGTTGCATTATATATATATATACCTTTCAGGAGGTAGTTTCAAGAATACACACTACTTTGAGTAGGAGCTTGAATGTTACATTTGATGAAGTTTACTGATTTTATAAATGTATCCAGTCTGCGGTTACCAAATAAAATAATAATAATAATAATAATAATAATGATTTTATTATTATTAACAATGATAATAATAATGAACTTGTGGTTACCTATAGCTTGTAAATTTTACTAAAAAGCCCTAAAAATCTTTTCACTTAATCGCGATATGATATCACTTCAAGGGCAACTGGAAACCAAGAAAGTTACGGTGAGTGCTTGATAATTGGTCAAAGATCTGAAGTTTGAGACTCTATTCCTACATAAGATTATGGATATATATTCATGGAGAGTCCTAAACTAATGGACAGTGTTTAGGGGTAAATTGCTCATCAAAACGACGGGTTAAATATTTTGACTTTTTGTAATACTTTAGTATCATTTAGCTGTTACTGACATCGATTTTGTGACTTGTCATATTAATATATTTTCCTTGTAAATGAAGTTGACATTCTTTACGAGAATGAAAATTAATGATCGTATTAAAAAGCTTCAGTCAGTCATATTATCTTGAATGACTACCTAACTAGTCAGTTGATTTCTAGATATCACTATTAGGAATTCTTAAACATAATAAGAAATATTTCCCTGTCTAAAATTTATTTTTAATGAAGTTCGTGATGCAGTGAATTGGCCAATTTTATCGAAACCAATACATGAAACCTGTTCAAAAATATCTAAACGGTCGCTTAGTTTAATGAATTCATGATGGATTTCACTGGTTTTGCTAAATCAAACAATGAACATGGTGATTTTATTAATGATCAGATACATTTATAAATATGTTGGGCTACTATAGGTAAGATTATTACTTGTTGAACTTTGATTGTTAAAGCTACCATGAACTAACGAGCAAATATGAATGTAATATTAGATGATCAAGTAAGGACACTGAATCAGAAATAGTAGCTGTAAACCTTGAAGTTCCTTATTCTATTTCTGACATCATAACGAGGGTTGGATTTCTGTCAACTTAATAGCAAAATGATGATTAGCCCCATGACTTTTATATATAGTCCATTCTAATATATATTCTACACTATGTTCTCTAGATATTTCTTTTACATTCCGGAATATCTACATCAGTCGTTTAGATGATGAGGAAACGAACGACCAGCTTCCTTTCTAAGTTGCATTTTTAAAAAAACGAGAAAATGGTTTGATGAAACGATTCATTTTCAGAAAACAAATAGGACAGGCAAGTGCCTTAATGGTTATAGTTACTGCTCAGTGCAATAAGAACGGGGATAATTAAGAGGCCTTTCCAACAGAGTTAATCGACGCTTTTGATGACAATGTTAGGTTGTTAAACAATAGAAAATAGCCATCCTCTAAAATTCATAAATAGATAGAAAGGTCATGGTATAGTGAGACCTACTATAGCCTTGGCACAAAAATGTCCATTTACATCATCCGAATGGCCTTTTATAGAACACTCATGTACACAATGTACAAATAAACAATGTCTTTTCATTCAATTATTATCACTCATTTGAATTTGGCATAGAATTATCTATTTTCTAATCTATCACTATTTAAATGTGAACTAAATTATTTCTCTAATACCTAAAGTATAATTAACATCCATGATGGTCTAGCTTCAACTGACTCATGATCTTAATCATTGAAATTACTATAATATGCACAAAACCCATCTGATATTAATCAACATATGCTCACTAGTGACTGGCTTCAAGATATATATCCTGGAGTTCGAGTGAGAAGCAGTGACCAGTGGAGTTCAACCGTGTCAGTTGTGAGATAGTAACTCACTGATGACAGTAGTGGATATGTCACTCAATTTCGTGGATTAGTTGAAGTTAGACATTAACACCGTTGTATACCGGCTCAGTGGTCTAGGGGTCAAGTGCTCGCGCGTGAAACCAGTAGATCCTGGGTTCGAATCTCTCAGGGGGCGAAGTCGTGAATACTCACTGCTAGGGAGTCCCACGATAGGACAAAACGGCCATCCAGTGCTTCCAGGTTTTCCATGGCGGTCTAGCTTCAACTGATTCATGATCTTAACCATTGGAAGTAAATTGATTCTGTTACTGGCTAATTGACAACTCGTCAATCAATCGATTTTTTTCAATAACATTAAGAGAACACAACAAATGACAAAAAGAAAGAGGGGATAAACAAAAAAAGAAAGGCAAGAATATACATTCAAGCCTATGAACAACTTATCCAGCTACTTAATCAATGAATGAATTAATGAATCATTTAATTACTTACTTATTATTATTGTTGTTAATAGGGAAGTAATTAAGAAATCATTCCATATAAACACATTACATTCTATTTATTTATTTATTTATTTGAAATAAAAAAAGAAAGAGAAAAGAAAAGAAAAGAAAATCTAGTTATCAACAGATGATCTATGTTGTTTTAATTTGTAAATAATTTAAATCTGTTGATTTCTGAAAAGAAAATAATCATCATCATAATGGCAATTACTTTAATTATATTAAAAACTTAACAACCAAAATAATACTCCATTATTGTTATTGTTGTTATTAGAAGTTTTATATTTTATCTCATTTTCATAAAAATGTTTTTATAATATGATTATTGATGTCATGACACTTAATCAGTATCATTTTAATTGACCTATATTATTGATTATTGATTAATTATACAGAAAAAAAACAAAAAAAAAAAACACAACAAAATGATCCGTTTATTTAAGTGTTCATTTGATTGATCTAATCGATATCCTTTAATCTGTTGATGAAATTGATTACAAAAAGAAAAAAGGCACTTGATAAGTATCATCATTCTAATGAGAATCAACAAATGAATGTTAGAGATAAACATGTTTGTTTGTTTTTTGTGTGTGTGTGTTGTTTGTCTTGTTTCGTTTTATTTTTAATAATTACGATCCTTCTGTCAAATAAATTGTATACAAAATGACTATACATTTAAATGACAATTTATTTGATCATTACACAATGAATAATATTGAAATATTATGTAATCAATTCAAGTGAAAACAATAGAATTCTTTTATTTCATAAAAGTAATCAAAGACTTCATGCACAATTCACCATGGTTTTTGTTTTGTTTTGTTTGTTTTTTCTTTCTATTTTATACTATAATGTTCAAAATTATGAAGAAATCAAATTAACGAATATGGCATCCTATTGTAAGTTGTGTTGTTTGTTGTATAATTTATGTACTTGTCTAATAACACTATCATGAAACTACTGTGCAAGATTGTTGCTATGTATATATTGTTTTAAAATTTAAAAAAAATTTGAATGGAATCAATTACGTTTGTTTCAAATATTATAATATATACTATGTTAATGAGACATTCAGTACTATTGAATAATCTCTTTATCTATGAATGTCTATGCGCACTATATATATATATATATATATATATATATATATATATATATATATATATATATATATATATATATATATATATGCGTACGTTACTGTAAATAAAAGATGATAGTATCAGATTTTCATTGTATGTTAATAATTGACAAAGGCAATCATACCGGCCAATAATTCCGCGGAAATCCTTTTTCATATCAATATGTATATATATGTATATATTTAGATATAATTAGATACAATATTTGCATTCATATGGATCGTTTTTGTAATGCGAAATAAAATAAAATAAATTTGGAATTAAATACGTTTACTACTATTAATATTATTACTATTAGTATTAGTATTATTATTAACAGTAATTGTTGCCATAAAGCAAAATTAAACAATAAAGAGAGTACACAATGACAAAACCAGGAAATAGTGATTATTCTTTTGATATGTTTTATCAATTACCATTGAAATGGTTTGTTTCAATTAGCGAAGTTAAGATAAATGTGTATCATCGACGGTTAGCAATACTTTTGTATATTAATGAGTACCTTTTTGAGACATAATATTTACTACTATTATTATTATTATACCTGTTATGAATGGCCATAAAACAATGAAACAGTAATAGACTTCAATGACTTTTATGTAGTTTATACTGTAGAATATACATTAAAATAATAGTTATATGCAGTCAGCATTCGTGCTAATTAAACACCGGAAGAAACAAATTTTAATTACATTCCAAATGTAATGGAAAACAGATAAAATCTATTCAATATATCAATTCATTGTTATTTTCAAATCATCACTAATTTCATATGAGGATGCAATACAATTCCCATGACATAACATGCATATTTAATAAATAATCAATATTAAACTTTGAGAATTATTAAGAAAACAAAAATAAAACAAAACTAAATTTTCAATTAAAATTTAGTAAGGTATTATTCTTGATCTCCTGATCAACCGATGACTAGATTTATATTTTAAACTCAATTGATTATCATCTTCATAGATTGGTTGAAAACAATCCATTGTTTGTTCATGTAAATCAGGTGATAGATTTTCTTTTAGTAATAATAATGAAGATGAAGTGTTTGTAGTATTCATTGGAATATTTGATTGAAATAAACTATAATCAATATGTTCACAATTGTTCTTCAATGGTGACAAATATATTTGATTATGATTTTCAGAATGTTTATTTAATGAATTGATTATTAAACTATTTTTAGTCATTAAAGCAGTTGCAGCTGATGCTAATCGAACATTAAATGCCCACATTTCTCGATGTATTGCAATACTGATTGTCAATGTTTTTTTTTAAATAGTTGTATTATTTCACAATTATAAGTTGAGGTTAACAAGTGTTGAAGAACATTTTTTATGTAATTAATATTGTCGATGGTATTTTTTTCAATATGACGTCATGTAGCATTAACGTGTATATGTGTAGTTGAGTGTATATGTTTGTATGGATGTGAGCGAGAGAGATAGAGGGAGAGAGTCAATGAGCAAATTTAAAAGACCAACATGCATGACATTTGGAAAATAGAAATTATCAGTATTATGATCAGTAGTAGTAGTAGAATGAATAAAAGTGAAATGTCATTGTGGTGGAAAAAAAGAAAAAAATACTGCAAATAATTACGTGCATAAATAATGATGAATTCATCATGCAATTCAATGTAGTACAACTAAACATGCATTAAAATTCAAGAAACATCTAAATCTAGATAGACTAGGTAATTAATTATACTTTCAATTTCATTTTTACCCAACAACGAAAAAAGTAACATTCAATTCAGTTACATCATAGATGTCAGAGTACAGTCGTTGAGAGTAATGTATTAATTAGTCGTCTAACAAATAAAATCTGCGTACATTAATCAAACAATTTTTCTTTTTTTTTCTCTTTAAAAAAACGTCTGATAATCATGTTGACTATTCATTAGGGAAAATATTTTTAGTCAAAACATTGAGTTGTGTCAATTTAGTGAAATGAAGTATTTATGAAGGGATACCCTAGCTTCAATTGACTCATGATCTCAACTGTTTAAATTACTACAATCTCCACAAAACCCCTTCTGATACTAATCAACATGTGCTCACTAGTGACTGGCTTCAAGATATATATCCTGGAGTTCGAGTGAGAAGTGACCAGTGGAGTTCAACCAGGTCAGTTGTGAGGTAGTAAATCACTGATGACAATGGTGAATGTGTCGCTCAATTTCGTGGATTAGTTGAAGTTAGACATTAACACCGTTGGATGCCAGCTAAGTGGTCTAGTTGGTTAAGCGCCTGGCCCGAGACTGATAGGTCCTGGGTTCGAGTCCCGCGGGGCGGGGTCATGGACTCTCAATGATGTGGAGTCCCACAATAGGACGAAACGGTCGTCCAGTGCTTCCAGGTTTCCCATGATGGTCTAGCTTTAATTGACTCATGATCTCAATTGTTTATAGGATACTCTAAGGTTTACGTAATCTAAATACCTATTGTATTATTTCAAGTATTAAATTCATTCTGTAAATTTGTTAGGTTTAATGGTATTTGAATGAAGCTTCGGGTAAAATATTTTCAATATTAGTATTGAATAAGATACGTTTCTTTAGGAAGTCTATAGAATTTTATTTGGTTCAAGTTATTATCTAAAATAAAAGAGTTTATACTACTTATGGAACCTAATCTTATGTTTGCATTGATACAGTAACTGTTCCATGATATTGAATATTACAATTTGTCAATTCTTGCATATTACCTATTATTCTTTACTGTTCTCCATTATTCTTACTCTGAATTTTGTCAAAAGACTTTGCTGTATTGAGGAAAATGTTAAAGGCAGTTAGCGGAGTGTGTGGGGAATCTTTTGAGGTCATTATTATTATGGTTGTGCATAGACATCTAAAGTCTTGCAAACTCCTGACAGGTGTCATTTTGTCAGGTACTAATCATCCCCTTCATTCTTATCTTTCTCTTTGTATATCTTTTTGATAAAACGAGATCTCGTTACATTAAAATTCATGCACACAAGCAAAGGTATAAAAGTTCTACAATATCGTATCTAGCAAATATACTGTGATGAACAAGTTGTTAGAGTTGACCTAGTCAATAACTTGTATTCTTAAACATGTTTCTAATTGAAAAATTGTACAAGTTCAACTTTTTCTTTCCTTTTTCTTGTTTTTGTAAAAGAAACTTGTTGAAATACCTCTTGCTGAGAATTCTATATTGTACCAATATTTAATATTGAATAAAACCATTAATAATAGTAATAATATTGGGAAATTTATGGCAACTCACTCTAAAATTTTAAAAGCCTAGTCGATTTTCATATTCGATATGTTTACCAGCACCTATTTTACTGAATATATATAGGACTGTGGATATATTATACCGAGTAGCCCAGCAAATAACTATCGCATGCAGAATTCCAGATGATGGGCTTACACGTCAAGAAGGAACCGCCTTGTAGCTGGAAAGCTTAATGTAAATCTAAAGGTAAGCCATGTATCATAGTGTAATATATCACTTGATATAAAATTATTTGAACCTTTTTTATGTTCAAATATTCTATTTTCACTTTGAGTAAATAATATTTAGATTAAGAAACAGATAATAAGTGAAGAATAAAAGAAGGAGAGAAGAATGAGAGATGTGATCACTAACCTGCTGTTTATAAGGAATTGAGCTAAATTTACTGAATCCAACTTTCCAGAAACTGTTATTTTTCTTTCTTTTGCACCATCTTCACAGTTGGATATTTTGATTTGTGCTTTAGATGCGTTTCTAATTTCATTGATTGTTGTACCACCACGTCCAATAATACAACCGATTACATCATTAGAAATAATCATCTCTCGGACAATAATACTCTCTTCTGTATTAGCCAAAGAAAATAATGAATTTTGTTGTTGAGGATTTAAAATTGTATTGATTGACAGGGATGGAAGACCAAGTAAAGATGCTGTATTCTGTAGACCACAAAATGATTTTATGGGATCTAGTGGAGTTGAAAGTGATGTATAATTATTATTTGAGTCAATAGGTAATGAACCATTACAGATGGATAAACTATTTGGTGATGCATTGTTACTATTATTATTCATGCATATATCAGATTGATTAACAATTATGTCACTAAGACTATTAGATGTTGGTGTTGTAAATTGATCTTCGGGCAGTCTATCTGATATTTTAAGAAGAGCTGTAGGTGAAGAAAACATATAGTTATTAGGTGAACCAACAATTGGTAGAGCAGCAGCTGTTGGAGTTGGGTAACAACCAAGTATACCAGGAGTAAGAGCTATTTCTGGCATATTCAAAGGTTGTCCAATGGAATGCATCCCATTTGCAATTGGATTTGTATTTGGTAATGGAGCCAAAATCGATGAAAAATATGATTGAAAATTAGCTAAATCTAATTGATTCAATGTAGCAAACAAATGAACTTGATCTATAAACAAAAAAGAAGAATAACATTTATTGTACGATGAAAAAGATAATGTTGTATGAAACCCTTGTACAATTCCAAGTATTAGGTAAATTTAATTTAAAATATTACTAGACGTAAACCATAGTAACTAACTTTTTGGCATTGAATGCTGGGTCAACCATTATATGGAACATTTTTATAAGGAAATCTGACATAAAAGATTATTCTATGCAATAGTATAAACAATGAACATTATTTACTATACTTTTGTTCCAGGGAACAATATGGTTTAGATTATCATTGATGAATAAATATCCCCCTTTTAGTTTTTTAGTGTTAATTAACTACTATTGAAAACAATAAATATTTGAAGTATAATAATTCTCAAAACTGTACTAGAATTATTGAAAAGAGTTCTGTTAGTAACATTATTCTTTCCAAAGAATACTTGAAATCATCTAAAAAAAAGAGACTACATTAAGCCAACTTAAACTAATTTGTCTCCATACGATGTTTATTGATGTATGGCAGCATAAACATTCTAATTTGAAGAAATTTACAATACTATCAATATGTTTGAATGAATGTTCTTATATTGACTTATATTTCTTGCTTTAATTCAGAATGCTTTAAGGCAATAATAAGCATTTTATTTATATTTTACTTAATGTGAAAAATTTGGTATCTACTGTGATAGATATGCACACAACTTTGTTATAACCTGACCGGAATAAATGGATGGTAACCGTTAGGAATTATTTATGGACTAATACGATAGAATTATTCTTAATATATAACTGTCAAGTAACTAAATTATATATATTTACATTTCTCTTATTACAAGCTCTTAATTAATCTATTGATTACTGTCATATGATTTACTATTCTCAAGTTATTCTTAATAAATTAGATACAGTTTCTCATAATCACAACCTCTTTTTGTCTTGATCTTGTACAATTATTATTTCCTATTTTATGGTATGATGTGGTCTAATTTGTTTGTATATAAACCCAGTATGTTTGAAATATATGATTCCTATCACGGACGCTGAAATTAACGTTCTGGACTTAACAGGTAGGACTAAGCAGAACAAGGACCAATCGGAACTCTTGGCTTCTGTTACTCGTGTATGCGTCGTATAAGTCAGCGTATCGTATTTCACAATGTCCTATAGATAAAGACATAATAAACTTGTTATACACTTTATCATATTACTTAAAGTTTATCAATTTCAAAATTGGAAATAATTATTCAGGAATTCTTGTTAAACATCTATATATATTTATGCACCAGAATATTAAATCACATGGATTATTGACAAGATGATTGACATGTTTGAAAGAATCTAAATAATCCCAAAGTATTAAGAAACATAAAACTAATAATAACTTAGGAATTAATCATGATTTTTTAAAAGAAAAATATAACTTCTATTTCTATTAGATCTCAATGCATTACCAATAGAATTCATAATAGACAACAGACGAAAAAGTCGAAGAATTTCAATTGTTCAAATATCTAGATAAATAAAATATGTAAATAACAGGTGAATGGATAATCATATGAAGTGTCTACTTTACTTAGTTTGATTATTTAGTTTTATGTTAAAATTAAGATATAAAACAAAATTGTAGCAAAAATAAAGAGAAACAAATGCAAGTAAGAAAGAAAAAACACACAAATAAGGCACATTATTCATGTATTATACATCAATGAACAGGAATATAAGCAGACAGATATGAGTGTATAGAGATACTACTTTTAGAATTAGAATAGATGGAATATGTATTTTAGGTATATATATACTTTTGATAGGATATAAATAAAAAAAATTTAATCAAAATACCTGGCAAATTAATCTTAAATATTTTCTTTATTCATTTTTTTTTTCAATTTTATACATGGTAACAATATAATTTAATGAATGAGCCAATCAGATTTAAGATACAGAATTTTGAATTTTCGCGTAAAATTTGTTTATTCATATGACTAGATAACATTTTGTAATTATAGTTGATGTTGATTCGTAATGAAAATTCTTTTTTTACATTAATTTTTGATTTTTTTAAAAACTCTAGTAGGTGGGTAAATTTTCATAAGGGTACTTTGACGTCTCTGAACGATCGCATATAAGTTATAGTTTCACCTTAAACATGAACAGATATTATGTAATTATAAAACGATTAGATTTTGCAATAGTTATAATAATGAAGTCAAAATCATGGTGAATAATAATGCGGAATATTTTCGAATTCTGGTTAAGTGTTTAAAAATTCTTGATGAATAGTATACTTCGAAACACTATATAGTACATCATTATTATGCATCATTTTTGTTTAAGAACGACGTTCTCTAGATAACGTCTTAACAAACACAAGCACAGAAAGGAAGAATCAGTAGCGGTATTTCATATTAATAGTGTTCTCATAACATTATTAACAAAGAGACTAGTTTAAGTGATATCCATTGTTTAGGATCTTTTTATATCTTTGAATACAATTTGTAAATTATTATAGATAATGTCATTCATTCAATTAGTGAAATAATCGACATTTATGAGTGCCATTCTGGATAGATAGTGGGTAGCAATGAAATCCAGAATGCATGTTTCTTCCTATTTACAACAGCTAATAGAAAAATGAACTAAATATAGTTAGAAATTTAGAAATAATTGATTTTGAAGAGTATTCACCAAATTCGGGGAGATCGTGATTAGAACTTACTTATAATGAGTCAATTTTATGTAACTTAATACCATTAGAATTTCTTAAACCGACTGTAATGTTACAAGGATTGTCACTGACAATAAGGAATATTGGGTTTATAAAATTATTTATTTGTTTTATTATATTTAATGAAGTAATGAAGTAAACATAACTGTTTCATGAAGTGACGTACGAAAAAATATCAGCTAGAATGTTTCTCATAAATTTAATCATTGCAGTTATTTATTCGCTATTTAAATGATTGCCAGTTGAACACATTCAACAACTAATTCTATTATAATTTGAGAGGGGTTTGGTTATTGTGGTAACTTAATGGTTGAATTCATGAATCAATTGAAGCTAGACCACCATGGAAATCCTGGAAGTACTGGACGGCCGTTTCATTCTATTATGAGACTCCTCAGTAGTGCGCATCCACGATCCCGCCTCGCGAGATTCAAACCCTGGACCTATCAGTCGCGCACGCGAACGCTTAACCACTAGACCATTGAGCTGGTTGGCATCCAACGGTGTTAATATCTAACTTTAACTAGTTCACAAAATTGCGCCACCGCCCACCCTTCACTTCAGTGTGTTACTATTTCACAACAGATCTGGTCGAGCTTCACTGGTCACTGCTTCTAACTAGAACTCCAGGAAATACCTCTTGGAGACTGTCACTAGTGAGCATTCTATGTACAACTTGTCTAACTGATAAGCAGTCATAATTGATTAAAAAAAACACTATAAAAACACTATTAAGGTTCCTGAGCTGTAATTAAACGATTTTTATGAATAGTTAACTAAATAACAAACAACAAAAAAAGCAATAGTATATCCATTTGATCTATAATAGTGAATGAATTCAGTTTGATCCTATTGGTTATTAACAAAATGGTTAAAAAAAATCTTATAAAAGTTGGTTAAAATATTTCTTGATATGACGATTAAGTAATATAACATACTTAATATGTATTTTTTTTATACTGATTTCTAGTTAAACCAAAAAAAAACAAACTACACAACAAAAACAAAACAAGATAAAGTCTGGTGATGGTTTCAAACTCATGCTTCTTAAAGAAATAAACAAAAAAAAAGAAAAAAAGCAAAGGAATGAAATTGACCGATATTAGTTACCATCAGAAAAATATATTTCTGATTAATAACATCCTGTATATATTTTCAGAAAAATAACTGATTACTTATATTTTGAATAGTAAACCTATATGATATATATATATATAATATTTCTTTCTTTCTTTTTCGTCTTTTTTATGCTTTCTACATAAAAAAGGTTATAATCTGGTTTCGTTATTTTCCACCTATTTCTGTTATATATCTATATATACATATGTTTTTCTTTCATCATGTAGTTTGACATTTGAACATGGTAAAGAACGTTTAAACGTTTGTCATTTACACTTGAATATTTTGTTTAAACTAAAATAAATAGTTTAAATTAAATAACATTTAAACAAAAATATATTGAAGTTAAGTGTACACACACATATATCTCTATATAGATAAATATATAGGTAAGAATTATGTTACAAACTATTGTCAATTATTTTTTCTAAAGAATATACTTTTATACTTTTCCTTATAAAACAGTGAACTAAAATAAAGACACTTCTATATGAATGTGTAAAGTTTATGCTGACATTTTTCTATACAATATGATAGTTTACTTTTTACAAACAAAAACACATAGACGTCTTGTTAGGGATAAGAATAATGATGATTATAATAACAGTAAGAAATAGTGATTATTCAGTAATTATTTTAAATAATACGTCGATAATAAATGAAACGAAACAAAGTTTTAATGGTTAAATTCATGAATTAGAAATGGGGAAGTATTGGACGACTGGTTTGTTCTAGTATGTGATACCTCATCAATGTGCATCCATGATTTCGCACATAAACTCAGAGGGCTTAACATGTAGACCATTGAATTGGTTGGCATCCAACGGTGTTATTGTTTAACGTTAACTGATCTATAATCTTATGCAACCATTTATTCATTGTGTGAGATGGATAATTGTTTCACAGTCGACACGGAATACACTCTATTGGTTACAGCTTCTCACAAGAACTATGAGAAATCTATCTGGAAACTAGTCACAGAGTTCTATTTGAAATTGATCAGCAAAAGTAATCAGTGATAGATGTTCATTTATATAAGTTTACATTTATTACAAAAACTTAAATAATGTTATCATATACTAGTAAACTTAATTTTTCTTTAATAAAATTAACAAACTATCTACATTGTGATATGATGAAAAGAAAAGTCAATTTTCGATTGATTTACTCATTATGAGTTTTGTTCAAGATTACTTCCGTTTTGATTCGATGTAGTGATTACTCAATGTAGTATTTGTTTCCCTTTCTCGTATGATATTTTATTCTATATAATATACGATATTCTTGTATTCCATTGACGTGAACTATGCTCAGTATGGGATTTGTTATATATGTGATTTCATTCTAATTATTAATCAAAAGGTGTGTACAGTCAATATATAAATGAGTGTATTTTCTACTAGGGTTGTCGTCGTGTTTTAGGGTTAATAAATCACCACTTATACCAGTCCCTGTGTTCTTACTTTCGCATCGTAGGGATCGCAGAGGTCTCTCGTTCCGAGTAAAAGTGATAAGCGTTTCCGACATAACAATCAGCGACAACCAGATACAAAATATAACATTAAAAGAGCCAACACAATAAACATTCAAACGACAAGTTATAACACATTGATAACAAATAATGAAGTGAACAGTCATTTAACAAAATGATATATCGCATTATTTAAAAGTAATACTTGTATATTTCTATTAGACATGATTATCAATAGTGATAAAATTATTTTGATTAAAAGTAGAACTGAACAGATGTTCAAGATTATTTGATTGCTGTTTTTTGTTTTGCTTTGTAAAAAATATTATCTTTGTTATATCGGGACGAAGAATAAGTGAATAGTAACCGCTGGGATCTATTTATGGATTAATATTATATATATATATATATATATATATATATACTGTATAATTATTATTTTCTATTTTATGGTATAGTGTGATCTGGTTTGTTTGTATATTAACCCAGCATGTCTGAAATACATGATTCATTTAGCGGAGGCTGATATTAGTGTTCTGAACTAAATCGGTTAAGTTAGGCCAGAAGCTACTATCTTGGTGTACCAATAAGAACTCAGAGTTGACTCTGGACTGCTCATACTGGTTTACGAGTCATTCGTCTGGTCAATAAGTTAGTGTTCTAAATGGTGATCATATCACGTGATAGTTAACAGATCATAAAGACATAACAATTTTGGAATAGTCAGTAATTTGAATGCTATTACAAATAATTGGTAGTAATGAATTCTAATGTCAATTTCATTATGTATAATCTCAGACTAGCATATAAGTCAAATAATTCTCGGTGATTTCGTAAAAAAATTTTTTACAAAAATGAAATACGTGAAAGTTGCATTAACTTATATATTATGCAAGAAAATAATGATCATTATCGAAAGATCGAGTCCACCGTGTGTTGATTAGTATATATATGTAAACCCTAGTCATAGTTAAGTGAACAGACTAAAACGTACATGGCCATGACTTCATAGTTTTCCGGAACTCTGGAGATAAATAAATCAAAACTTGAAATAGATTCATATCATTGAAACCTTTATTTTATTATTAACAAATTATCTCTTTCATTGGTTTAATACCTAAATATATTAGGCTGTTATTTATATCTTTCATCGACAGTCCTGTTAGTTTTATTGATTTTTAAATTTGACAATAATAAAAGAATAAATGAATTTATTTCCTTACCTGAAATGAGATCTGACATTTGACTAACTGGTCGACCAGAACCAATTACTGTTAGGGGAGATTGAATAGTATTTGCTGTAGGTAGATTAGGTACAATAGATGCATTATTAACACCACATCCAACATTACATGAACCAGATACTCCAGTTCCTCCAGATAAAATACCAGATGGTATCCCAAACTGATTTGTATAAGTTCTATTTAAAGTAGTTGGACTAACAGAGTTCACTTCGTTTGATAATAACGAGGCTGATGTTAACATTGGTGTAGTATATCCTGATTCATGTGAATTCTTGTTTCAGTAAAATAATGAATAATGAAATGCAAATGAATGTAATTTTTAGTCACTTTCAATCTCAATTTTATCAAGAAATTGAAAGAAAGGTCTATAAAATATAAATAAAACTTTAGTGACCCAATCATTGATTAAGATAATGTGGTAGATTCAGAAATCTTCCTTATCACTGAATGTAAAGGGCATCGAAATACAGTAGTCAAATTACATCAATGTTTATTTTTCTTAACTCATTTCAAAAATCACTTCACTCTAGAAGCAAGTTCATAATTCAAACAAACATCATATAAAACAAAAGTATCTTTTTAAATTGAATAAACATTAAAGATCTTATAAAGCCAGATTTTAGACACCTTTGATAATGTTATAAAGAAATGTTTACAATAGAATTTAGCTAACTACATAAATGATTTACAACAAATCTCAACTTCTTAAACATTAAATATATAAAATGTATTTTTGGAATTCACCTAAGAAACAGAGTTTTAAGCTGTTCTTCATTCATATACTCTTATACAACATTTAAAAGTCTAAACATTGATTCATAGAACATATTAGATTAGGACATTACATATATATATATATATATACAACACTGAATACCTAACTTTTCATTATGACCATAGTCAAATGCAAAATATATTTAAGATTATCCTATTATATTTCATATTTACAAGATAAACGATTTGTTCTAAGAAAGAATGTATGTTGTTGAATTTAACGAAGAGATTTAAACGATCTCTGTTAAACTTCAAAGAAAACTATATCTAAAATAATGTGTAGGCTTTATATCTTCTTCTATCATATTCATTCTTAAGAATAGTCAAACAATGTAATGTGAATAAAATGTATAACAAACTTCAATTCTTTTTCTTTCTCTTTTTATAAATTAGTTTACATTCAAGTGTAAAGTGCACCATTTTTCTTTTTAGTACACTTAACGATTAGAATATTCCAGTCAAATGTAGTATGATTTATATTTAGTCGCATGTTAAATTTCTTTTATTGAATACAATACTGAACAACTGAAGAAGAAAAAGAAAGAAGCAAAATAAAAAAAGTATAATATTCAGCTCCTGATTGATGTTTCCTTCTTTATTTGGTTAAATAATATCGAGAGAAATATCATTGATCAATTGAATACAATAGTAAATGATGTCTAGGGTTAGCTTGCGGTGTGTGCTACTTATATTGATATAAGTAGTATATGTCGCGAGTTAAAACGTAATATCTGGCAGCAGAAGATGAGGTGAAGATCAAGAAAGGAAGAGCAAGAGCACAATGGAATTTTTAAGAAAACGCATGTACAATGAAATGGGAGACAATGGATTAGTGTTTGCAACGGAAACAGTCCAGTTTGATATGATGCATTAATATTTTGCAAATTGACGATTGACTTTATGATATTCAGATTTTATTAAGATAGTCTATAAGTTCGTGATAGGTTCATTCGATTGTCTCCACCGTGTTCTTGTTCACTACAAGCTTACGATATTTCTATAGATATATTGAAAGCTTCTGAACTTTCAGGCTGTTTATAATTATTCTTCTTCAGAATTTTGTATTCTATTGTTTCAAAATATAAAATGATTATTTATGAATATGAAACCATGTTTTATAATTAAATTTAATGATCCGATCAAGTGTTCTCTTTTAAGACTAAATTTCTGTACTTTCTCATTTCATTATTTTATAATTTTTAGTCTAATGATGATTTCTGTATAGTTTTCTTAAAGTTTTCGCAGTGTGAAGAAAAAAGAAAGGGAGCCAAATAATGATGATGATGATGATGAAAGTTCTTATAATATGTACAAGGTAAAGACATATATATATATATATATATATATATATATATATATATATATAAAATAAACCGTAACAGATTTCACAGTCCATGTATTACATTTTCGTTCTGTTTTTCATTTCTGTTTTCTTAGTAAAAGGTTTACCAGTGTAACAAACGTATAATTTTACCACCGTTTCTCAAAACATTAATTGAGACCTAAAATAAAATTACCAACTGGATATTGGTTTAAATGAAGTCATCATAAAATGAACCATCTAAGTTATAAATTAACAACACCATACTTTCAAGGCTTCTGAAACTGAATACTTTACATCAGATGATTGTTGTTTTAGAATTAAAACCCTCAGCGACTTAGCTCATAACCGATCACAATATATATATATATATATATATATATATATATATATATATATATATATATATATATATATATATTTTCAATGGATCTTTCTCTGACACCCTTTTTCGAGAGTTGAACATACTCACTCGACCTAATAGACAGTTACTCTAGGTCTTATTTAACTAATGTATGCCTGTCATGACACATATACTTTATAAAAATTCTATTATACCAAATTAATAACTATTTATTTTTGACTTGAAGTTAGAATGTATACTGAAAAGATAATGTAGGAAAGCTAGACGTTCTTCTGGTTTAATCGGGATCATTATGTGGAATAGGTTATTTTAGGCTGCTTTAATGGTAATTCTTCTCCTGATTTTTGAATATTTTGATGCCATTTACACTTATAAAAACAAAAATCAACTTTAGAAGTTGATGATGATGAGTAATTTGGTGGCCTCACTTATGAAGCTACAAACGTTAACAATAACTAATCATATTCAAATGAAATGAAATATTGTTCTAAATACTTCAAATAAACATGATGAGCAAAGGCGTTAATTTACTCTGAATATTTATTTACAAAACGAATTCCATGTTCACTAACCTCGCACACTGAAAGTGGAAGTCCAGACAGGTTTGAATGCAGTAAACCAGATGAAAATGTAGTGGCAGGACATATTAATCCTGGATTACCAATCACGGGTTTTGGTCGATAAAGAATGACCGGACCTTTATTTGGGCACTGTGAATTGAAAGCGATAGCAATTGTTAGTAATACTTTGTTCTTAATAAATGATGAAGAAAACTGCTGTGAAACAAACGACAGACTGAAAAGCTATTATATTGAAAAATCTTATATTCTTAATCGAGTATTCAAACTGTGTTTCTATTTCACACCAAGACGTTTTGATATAACAAATCTTATTGTAACTTTTTAAAAAAATACTACAGACTATATCTTGACACCTTTTACAGTAGCTAAATCTAAACAACATTTACTGTCTTTTATACGAATATTCGTCAAGATTAGAACGAATAGTTTGACAGTAATTGAGCGCCGAGTATGGAGAAGTCATTATATGTGAAAATTATATTTAAAATATTCTCAGCGATTGAAATATAACTAATTCCAACGTTTCGTCCAGCTAACTTGTCTGGACTTCTTCAGGGTAATAATCAAAATCTTTGATAACTTTGATTTTGATTATTACCCTGAAGAAGTCCAGACAAGTTAGCTGGACGAAACGTTGGAATTAGTTATATTTCAATCGCTGAGAATATTTTAAATATAATTTTCACATATAATGATTTACTGTCTTTTATTTTCATATTGAACTAAGAGGTTACGAGAAACAATTAATGCTTCTGTGATTAAAGGAATACAAAACTAAGCTAAGCTACTTCGTCTTTTAAGTCAGTAATTTAAATTAACATGCTACCTACAGATATCTTTCCTCTTTATCATAGTATCACCATAGAAAACCTGGAATCACTGGACGGCCATCTCATCATAGTATGGGACCGCTAAGTAGTGCGCATCCACGACCCAGTACGCGTGATCTGGACTCAGGACCTTCGGTCTCACGCGCAAACGCCTAACCTCTAGATCACTGAGCTGGTCGACATCCAACGGTTTTAATGTCTAACTTCCATCGATCCATGAATGTATGAGTAACCATTCATCCATTGTCTGAGGTAGATAACTTTCTCTACTCAACACGGATTGGAATCCACCGTTCACGGTTCACTAATTCAACTATTAAAATTACTACAGTTTACACAAAACTCATTCTGATAAAGAAACTAAATAATAGTTCAATAAGATCTTATAACTTTCCACTATGAAATTATAAATTGTATCTTAGATCATCACCCGAAGTCCATTACGTATTAATTATTTCTTTAACAATCGATATCTTAATTTCTAACTCCATCATAATGTTAAACAGGAAACTTCAAATTGGTTAGAGAAAAATATTTTAGTCAGTGTAAAAGTGAACGAACGAAGTAAATTATAAAAAATCACATACCTCTAAAAATATATCACACAATAATCGAATACATTTGGAAATTGCCTCCGCTGTACCTGATATTGTAACTGTTCTTTCTGTGGATGTCGGCAAAGCTTCACTAGCAACTTGAATTGATGCACCAGTTAACTAAATGATTAATGAAAACATGAAATAGCATCAATTCATTTCTGTATTGTTTGTTTGAATCTTTCCATTGATGGTTAGGACTGCAATTGATCAGTCTCGTATTGTCATATGTGCATTCTATTCGGATAGCCTCGATATTGCCTTAAGTCACAAGCATTATAAACAAAGATAGATAGTGGCTAGCAGTGGAATCCAGGACGCCTGTTTCGTTCTACTTGAGACTAGTCAGCTGGATGTACCTACATACAATAGTCGATGTTGGTACATCCAGCTGACGGGTCCCAAATAGGACGAAACAGGCTTCCTGGATTTCACTGATGATCATCATCCATCTTTGCTTAAAAAGCTTGTGACTTAAGTCATTATCGAGACAACCGTCACCCAATGCATATGTGCCAATAGGAATTTGATCAATTACAGTCGTAAACAACAATAAGGCGATACAAGCACACAATGCAAAGAGAATTTAAGATTAGATCACTTTAAATTTTAAGTATAAGTTAACAACAACAACAACAACTGACATATAAGATTTTCAATTTTATGACTTATTGACATATGCTTTCAATAATTTCAGTAATAAAAAAGTAGTATATTCTTGGTTTAACAACCTATAATTTATTGTTGTTTCTTTGTTCCTTCAACAAAACATTTTCCCTGTAAGACTACTTCATGTTAAAAGTTGCCTCTGTTCATTTTAAATCGTTTTTCATAAATAAATAACATTTGATAATTTGCATAATTTTATTCTATAATGAAAATACATTCATACTATGTAAATCATTCACATCTCTATTACCAATTAAATGAAACGGAACATCATGCAAATGAGCTAATAATAATAATGATAATTAGGAACAGGAAGTGCGAATAGAGTATTCCTGAAAATGTTAAATTTTTGTTTAAAAAAAAAAGAAGAAAAGATTCATTGAACCAAACATTAAGTTGAAAGATTTCCTATTTGTATGTTTAGTGAAATAGTTGAATGTAGTTTAATTCGTATACTTGAGATTACTTTACTATGGTTGTTCATTGAATAGTTGAATAATTATGATTAATATTACATGTTAACTAAATGAGATGATAATCTATGTGACCTAAATTTATCGTATACTATTTCCTGAGTTTGTTATTTGTTTCTATGACACAGTACAACATTTTATCCATTAATAGGATACTGTAATAATAAATCAAGTCAACTGTAAATATAGTTGAAAATTATGTATTTTTCATTGAAGAAAATCTTGTCACAAATATTGTATGTTTCTTGTGAATAATTAGACAAAATATCTTTCCAATAGAGTTATCTTACTGACTAATGTCAATATTGACTGAAAATGAGGTTTACAATGTACAATGCATATATATTTGAACATGAAACAAGGTTTGATAATTATAGGTGAACACATGATATTCAACATGTTATCTAATAGTTTCTAAGCATGTTAACAAACTAAACGGTTTTTCTTCTCTACATGTATTCAAACATCAGTTATGAACATAAACATTTACACAGTCAACAAAAAGTTCAACCACAAGGTTAGATGGAGTAAAAATTGGATACTGATTTGATTCCAATGAAACTGATGTTTTTTTAAAGTTTTTATCAAATATAAATACTCACAACCAAGGTCCTCTCTAATTAAACGAATAATAACCAATCTAGTTAAACCAATTAAAGCATAGGTGGTTGTATCATACTAATTTTTATGTAAGAGCTATAATACTAAAAAACCGTGTTCAATATCTCAATTGTAGGTCGAAAACACTCCATACATGTTATTGCATCTATAAATTTGGGTGTAACTGCCAAAAATAGCTACATTGGTCAAACAGGAAAGGAGGCATTTTGTAGATTTTTTGTACATGTTACAAAACGTTTTCAAGTAAATAAGAGAACTACTTAAACAGAGCAGTTACTAAACATATCTTGGATACAGGACATCAGGTTGATACCTTATAATCTTTCAAGATAGTTAATAAACAGTCAAGCTTCAATCTTCTGAAGTTTATTGGAGCCTGTTCTATCAGGTGTCAGAAAACTGATTTATGTGTTTGAAAGAAGGTGGTTGTTAGTCTGTCTTTGCCTTGATGACAAATATTCCTTCATTACATCATAAAATTTAGTTCAACTCTTTCCTTCAATCAGTTACATGGTTAGGTCTTTTTATTTAGACTGCCTTCTAGTTCAGTAATTTTATTTTGATTAACTGAGCCTAACTCATTTTATTCTAACTTATTATCGGCGTTTACTCTGTACGTAATGAATTGTTTCCAGCTCTTTGGACTTTGTTACTATCAGTGTTGTAGAATATTATTTTACATAAGGTATTTATTTATCTCAATCTATTAGATTTATTTGTACCCTTTTCTGTACTTACTAGTGTGTCTTCAAAGCAACATTCAACTAAACTGCTCGATGTAAGTAATTTAACTCGATTTTGTAATTAGGACTTTTAAGTATCGTAGTTGTGAGCAGGTGATGGGAAGGAAATGAAATAAAATGAATTTTGAAATATTCCCATATTGTAAATTTAGAACAACATATACAAGCGAACAATATTGTTTTCGATTAGATCCTCATCAGGCTTTACTTTAATATACAGTAATATTTATATGCATATACGAAATTATTAAACCAATCATGGTAGTTTATAAGTCAATGATAACAATGGAAAAGATTACATAATAAGTAAAATGTGAAAAGTACAAATTGATGGTGTGACAACAGGTGCATTAGTTTTTGATAAGCAATAATAATAAAGGTTCAAATCAATGTTACATAATCTGAAATAGGTCAATGATTAGAAAAGTATAGAAACTGAGGTAACAATTATAAAATTATCAGAATGGGTTTTGTGGAGAGTTTTAGAAATTTCACAGGTTGAAATCATGAGTCAGTTGAAGCTAGACCACCATTGAAAACCTGGAAGCACTGGACGGCCGTTTCATCCTGGTATGGGACTCCTCAGCAGTGCGCATCCACGATCCCGTACCACGCGGGGCTCGAACCCAGGACCTACTGGCTTCGCGCGCGAGCACTTGACCACTAGACCACTGTGTTAGACATTAACACCGTTGGATGCCGGATGCCAAGAGATAAGACTGACTATTATTTTATATGACTTCACAAATAGATAAATTTTAGTTATCAGTGCAAATTTCGATATTTAGACCCAAATGACAGGTGAAAGAGTGTAAATTATAAATTTCAGTTCTCAATGGTCTCATAAGGTATAAGAAATTTTGGCATTATGACATATCGTCAATGATGCATGTCATTTTATTGTCTGAAGAAGAATAGATTTTCAATACAAATATCAAGTTAGTTCTACTGTATGGGGTGGAAACCTGGAGAACTAAGAAAGCCATCATCCAGAAGATACAGGTGTTTATTAACAGTTGTCTACGCAAAATACTTTGGATCCATTGGCCGGACACTATTAGCAACAACCTACCACGGACGGAACAAACCAGACCCCCAGTGGAGGAAGAAATCAGGAAGAAGCGCTGGAAGTGGATAGGACACACATTGAAGAAAGCACCCAACTGCGTCACAAGACAAGCCCTCACTTAGAGTCCTCAACTCCAAGGGAGAAGAGGAAGACCAAAGAACACATTACACCGGGAAATGGAAATAGACATGAGAAAAATGAACAAGAATTGGATGGAACTAGAAAAGAGGGCCGAGGACAGAGTTGGTTGGAGAATGCTGGTCGGCGGCCTATGCTCCATTAGGAGTAACAGACGTAAGTAAGTAAGTAAGTAAGTGTTATACTTGTTATAATAATGTAGTGCATTTACCGATTATATCTTTACGTTTTTGATTTTGGGTCATACACAGCGTCATGGCTATCCGGACGATCCACGACGTCCAAGCACAAAGAAAAATAATAAAAATTGCAATACAAAGTAATAACTATTATCACTACTGATCCATAAAATGGAACTCACTAAAACCTAATCAAATGAGATGAGAATATCAAGGAATAGACAATATATCACAAAATGCAATTCACTATCTTACCTCACGAACATCTTTAATCTTGGATCCTCCTTTACCGATTATTGAACCACATTGAGCTACTGGAACTAATAAACGTATGGTCACTGGAGGACAATTGACTGTTTCATCACCCATTCGTAATAAACCTTGTGTAAAATCCTAAAGTTTTCACAAAAATATGTATTTAAATATTTTATTAAGAATTCTAAAGAGGGAAATGTTTTTATTGTTATTCCTTCAAATGATGTTCATCAAAATGTAGAAACAAAACTATGACATTTTGGTATTATTTCTATGAGAGACCATCATAGATCATCAAACATTATATAGTACTAATCCAGACAAGCATATTATAATAGGTAATGATAATTAAAGTGGGACATTTACATTTGCAGGATGATGAAATGACTTTAAATGATCCCATTTCTGTTACACTTGCTTTTAATAGCAATAAATTCTATCTAACAAATGCTCAGTTCATTGTGCTACATAACTTCGTACAAGATCGTTTATTTTTATTTTTTGTGAAGCAAATAAACGTGAAATTAATAGCGTCCGTTTTCACTTCTTGCGCATTTCTATCATTGAAATTTACTAAAATATTTAGCTGAAGTTTTTAAGAATATTGATTAACCACTTATCAACTTTTACCCACAGATAGTGCGACCAGAACATATTACAAAATATCATTTTATACATGAAGCTGGCCTGCTTGAATATCTGGACTATCTGTTCCTGCCATCTAGATATTTCAACAAGTTATCTGATTTTTTTATTTGTTTTAACACATCATTATGAATATTAGTTAAAAAACTTATTTAGATCCGTTTGCGAAAAATCTACGATATTTCTCTGTACAAGTTAAGAAAGAGCACAATCAGAGACATCGTGGTTGCTGGCAATATATGTCGAAAACAATATACATCAATCAGATGTTGATTACTAAACTGCTAGCTCACTCACTCAATATTTATCGTCAGGATCAATCAAAAAATAAGAAGAGGAATCTTGTTGTATTACTTTGTGCTGAGAATTTTATGTTGTACTAAAGCCACTAATAACAATACTACTAATAATAAAAGTAACTGATCTAGTAGAGATCTCTGATTAAGTCAAATATTATCAAATACATTTTGCTTACATCTTCAAATTTACGACTCATTAGTGTAAATGCAACATAAATTTGTTCTGTTGTTCCAGTAATAGTGACAATTCTTTCTGGACTAGATCCATCTGATATATTAATTCTGGCTCCACTCTGAAATAATTCAGTACAAGACAAACACACAAACAAAACTGAAATGAAACAAATAGATGATTTATTAAAGAACATTTATGTAGCTATAATAATGAAGTCACTAAGTTGTCTAACCTCTGTCAATAATATTTATATTAGGTATTTAAATATAGATGACCATGAACATATAAGGCAAAGCTAACACTGAAAACAAATTATATTCCTTCGTAGCATACGCTTTAGTATATACTGGAGATTATGGTTAATACAGTCCATAAGAATACGATGTAATTTAAAAGTCGAAGATTATGTATATGTACTAATAATAATAAGTTGAAAAATAAATCCTACTTTGAGTGTTAACGATTCTTTATCATTTATTCGAATCTCCTGTAATTACTTACAACATATCATTGTGGGTACTTTAAAGCTTTTCTATAGTCTGTCTAAAGGAATCTGTTTTATCATCTTTCGTGAATGTTTTTACATACCACAATACAACGTATTTATTGAACAATATCTGTAATTGTCAGTATGCATTTATGGAGATTGCTTAACTTATTTGGGATCACTAACCGTTTCAGGTTTGTAAAACGTACCCATTAAAAACACTGGAAACTGTACAGTTATACAATATTGTTGACTGATCAAAATTCGACTCAAATACTATCAGAACCTGGTTCAGTTGTTTAAAGGTTAAGGGTTCACACGTATAATCTAAGGTCCTGAATTCATTTCAATTTCATAGCATCAGCATTTCAGACTATAAAACTAAAATAATGTATATTCATGTTTTGCAACTACAGTTATTTGTCTAAATCAATATCTAAATCCACATGTAACACATTTAAACATTTAAAGCATTCACATTCTTATAGATAGAATTTTCACAAACTTACTTCCTCTCTATATTTTCTCACATTTTCTCCCCTCTGGAATAAGAAAACATATATCAAAGATGAAATCATATATATATAATAAAAAAATATATTACTTATTTGATGACTGATTCAAAGAATAACTCCATATATTCATGAAATTATTCATTTGATATATGTATATAATCTTTATTATACCTTTAATTGGCATTTGGACAATCATAAATTATATTGTAAATATATATATACCAAACAAATATAAGTCATTTAAATAATTGAGATCATGAGTCAATTAAAGCTAGACCACTATGAAGAACCTGGAAGTACTGTACGGCTATTTCGTCCTATGGTGGGACTCCTCAGCAGTGTACATCCACGATCTCGTCTCCTGTCCAGTACTTCCAGGTTTTTCATGGTGGTCTCAACCATTGAAATTACTATAATATCCACAAAAGTCCTTCAAATATAAGTCATTTTAAATTTTTGTATACAAACTTAAGAAAAAATGACAGGTTTAGATGATATATATCTGGAATGATCTTATTAATGGGCAAGGGTAAAAACAAAAAAGGATTTTCTCTTCTTTAAAACATCAATTTCCTCCATTTTTTGTAGAATTATGAATGAGAAAATATTTGAATAAAAAAAACATTTTTGACAAATAATATTTTAAATTTTGCATAATTTTGATTGGTTATTCATGAATCTGATAGGGAATTTTATAAGTTAATGATAATCTTGCTCATTTCATTAAAAACTTGACATGGTTTAATTTTTTTTGTTTGTTTTAACTTAAACGTTCAGTTAACATAGAGATTAACTGATTTTTATTTAGTGGTTATAAATACAATGGATTATAATTGATGAAAAAACACTAGTTAATAGATACTGAAATAATAATTAATATCAGATATATATAGATAGATCCCATAATGAATCGATATCAGTTCAAGAATCACTGGAAACTAAAGAGCATTAAAGATCCGTTTCGTAGTATTTTGAACTTCTTAGTTGTGTCTAGCCATAAACATAAAAGTGGTTGAACTATGCATTTTTAACTAATGCACAATTCCTTAAAACCAGTGAACTGGATTTCAGTGACTCATATTGTTACCTTCAATTTGTCATTTAACATAATTGATAACATTTACTTTACTGTCAACATTATTCAGGTTGGTTGATCATTCAATTGATTCATTTATTGTTATGAAATGATCGTTGAGATTTACAAATTGGGTAAATTATTTTGATAGTGTTGCATTCTAAATGACAGCATCTGGGCTTCCTTTAAACTGGAGTGCTATTCTTCTGGAAGTTATTCAATGATGGGTACATGCATATTATTTGTACAAGAGTCTACTCCAAGCTAGTTTGAAATTAAAGAATCTCCAAAAAACTTTGAAAATATAATGTCTGTAGTTAGGTACTAGTGGTTAAATTATAGAGAAACGTATGGAAACTTTCATAAAGTTAGAGTATATTTCGTAATTAAAGTTGTTCATTTTTAAAGAGAATTTCATTTAACCTTAATTCATTAGTTATCTACTAAGTAATCTAGCCAACTGTTGTATTCTATAGAAATGTATATACTTTCATTCATATTTAGAAATATATAAAGGGATGTTAATAAATGTAAAGATTGAACTGTATTACATATAACTAAGGGATAAAGCTAATAAGAAAATTTCATTTATACAACAGATTTTCTAAAAATAGATGGCAAAATAGCAACTATGTTATAATTTAACAGAAAAATAGTGTTTGGATGTAGATATGAATTTTTCAAGCATATTATAAGGTAAAAAAGTACTTTTCAGAAATGATGAAAAGTTCTAAAAAGAAGCTAGTGCGATGCTGAAAAGTCTCACACTAGGACAAAACGGCCTCCTAGGGCTTCCAGGTTTTCCATGGTGGTCTACCTTTATTTGACTCATGAACTCAACCATTAAATTATTACAATATCTACAAAATTCCATTCTTTTTGGCAGTTATAGTGAGAAGCAGTGACCACTGGACATCAACAAGGTCTGTTGTGAGATAGTAACTCACTGAAGACAGTAGTGGACGGTGGTGCAACTTCGTGGATTGGTTGAATTTATACAATAATACCGTTGAATGCCGACCAGCTCAGTGATCTAGAGATTAAACAATCACGCGCTGGACTGTAGGTTCTGGGTTCGAATCCCGTGGGGTGAGATTACGGAGGCGCATTGCTGAGAAGTCCCATACTAGAACGAGATAGATGTCCAGTGTTTCCAAGTTTTTCATGGTGGTCTAGCTGTAATCAACTCATGAATCCAACTAATAAATTACCATAATAGTGACAAACCCCCTTTCTGAAAATAGAATATTATCAACATGTTGATATGGTGTGTAATATTTAAACTTGGATTCATTGTAAATTTCCAGTGAGTATCTTGTTTGACAACCAAATACTTTAAAATCTCCATAGATTTATTTACCAGAATTTAAGGACTGATTTGTAAGCCATATGTAAGTTTTTATTTAAGATGAATAATTTCACTATGAATAGTCATTTGAACGGTACCTTATTTTCAATAGTGATTAAATATAAAAAGATAAGTTTTATTCTTTGTTGCTTTTGCTTGCATTTACCAGCTCACCTAAATCATACGATTAATCTACATAAGCTGGAGCCAGAATTTCATCTTTGACAGACTTGAGAAAATACATTCTATGAGGTTGATAACAAATTGGTCATGAGTTTGATATTCGAATATTTAATTGATTCTCATAACTCATTATTTCGAAGTGACTTACAAACCTCAGCCAAATCTAAATAGATTTCTTACTTTTCAACTTAGAATAACAAAAGTTATGGTTATATATTAGATAAAATTTGAACTGCATATTCAAACATCACATATCCTTACTCTATCCTTATCTGATGCTTAATCTAGTATTATTACTACTATTATTGTTTTCATATCAGACACTTGTATACTTTTGAAGGTCCTTCGTCCATAGAATACTTTACGTGACCCTTTAGTATATTTCTGTTTGTTAACTATTTCCTATATTAGTTCATTTAATGGTTTCTAAATTCTAATATCTATTTAGGAAGTATGAAAGCTTTGCATTAATTATTTTATTCTGCATACATTACGGTGCTACATTAATTTATCTATTGTATATTTGTTACTAGATTGAGAACATGTTATAGACCTTATGTCATATTGTATGTTAACCTGTCTTGTTATCTTCGTGATTATTCACTTTTCATATATCATCAAGGAATTAAGTTCTTTTCTTAATCCATGACATATATAACAAACATGAATGTTCTTTACTAAACCTACGAATACCATTATAAATTAAACAAAACGAATGAAAAATCTCATTTATTCTTTCAAATGAATTTTTTCATGAAAGATCACAGCTTTCTAGAATTCGCATTCATTTATATTCAATGATTTAGTACCTTTGTCGATTTTTTCTTCATATAATTAATTTAATACAAATAGTTAACACTTTATTTTGCGAACCAAGTTTTTACCATAACGGACATTTTCTAAAGATTTTTATTTAATTAATGTAGATGTTTACGTGTACATTCGAGCAGATTAGTATTAACTTTATATAAATAATTGTTTATAAGAAGTATACATCAACTATGAAAGCCAGATACATCCAGCTGATGAGTATAAAATAAGACGAAACATGCATCTTGAATTTCATTATAACCACTATCCATCTTCGCTTAAAATAGATATATTGCTGTATATTTTTTGATAGGTTACATTATTGCTTACAATTCATTTTGTTTTTCATGAATTAAAACGAAAAAATCAATCATTATAAAAAACAGAAATATCAGTTTAGGTGTTGTGGAGATTGTTAAGTTTTTGATTGAAATCATGAGTCGATTGAAGCTAGACCACCATGGGAAACCTGGAAGCATTGGACGGTCGTTTCGTCCTAGTATGGCAGCTAATCCGTGTCGGATAGAAATAAGTGTCTACCGCAGTACAATGGAAGATGGTCTCGCATTTTCGTGGATTGGTTGAAATTAGACATTAACACCATTGGATGTTGGCTAAGGGGTTTGTTGGTTAAGCGCCTGCCGCGAGACCGATAAGTCCTGGGTTCGAATCTCACGGGTTGCTTCCAGGTTTTCCATGTTGATCTAGCTTCAATTGACTCATGATTTCAATCAAAAACAGAAATAGAAAATATTTATCCACTACAAATTCATTACTTAGTTATGATAAGTTAAAAATAAACTCTATCAATAGTGATTAACAAAACATAAAAATGAAGCAAAGAAAATGTTGAAATGAATTTCTTTTCTCTTTTTTTTGATTCTATTTTGTTTTGTTTTTCTTTCAAATGAATTAAATAACGATAAAGTTGAATTTAACAAAACGTATTAGATCTGTTAATGAAAAAAATGGATAAATTCAGATAAATCTACTGTAAAATAAAACAACATGTTACCAATATTTATTATGATCTTAATAGAATGATAAAAAATGATAAATATCTTTACGTGCACACATACACACTCGACTATAGAAGTACCCTCATGAACATAGTAACCATTCAAATTAACACACATGTATATATAATAGAAAAAATGTAGGTCATTGTTAATTAAAATAATTATTGAAATATGTATATAATAAAATAGAAGAGTAAAATAAAGGTAGAGTGATGGGGAATAAGTTATGTAATAACGTGAATTTTTTGTTGTTGTATGTCTTTGTAAAAATCAACAGTTTTACTGTTCTAGATATTAGATATTAAATTATTTTCATTGGGTTTTCTACTGATAAGGAGATTTATTAAATGAATTGAAGGTCAATACATCATTTATTATGAAATCTGATAAATGTTGAATTATTTTTTCTGGTTAGGGTTTTTTTAGCGAGTTAGTTTTAGGGTCGTCAACCACATGCCTGACACCCTCTTTATTCGGGTTTGGGGCCGGAAGTAGCCCTTGAGGAGCTTCAGACGACCTATACTCTACTGAGAGTAACAGCTATGAGTAAATAAGTAAATGATACATTTTATGTTTATTTACTGTGATTTAG